GTAACGCGTTACTGCCCATCTCTGGTCACAAATGACTTTTCCACAGTGTGGCGAGGCTTTGGTGTTTATTCTGTTCCAAAGTCCCAAATATTAGCTAATAATCATCATCAACCACTTTCAAGAACACGTTCACAAAAAACACAAATTGAAAAACTGATAAAGAAAACAAAAAAAAGTATTCTTTCTATACAAACTTTAGTCCTTGCAGTCCTCTAGAAAATCCTGTTTTTTTTGGATCATGACTGCAGAGGTAGAAGCTGTGTTTGTCTACCATGTGGGGCAGCGGCTGTTGAAATAGATTAGAAGCCATTGAGCAGGACTGCTGTATAATTGTAGGACATACAGTGTGTATGGTTGTCACCTGATCACTCAACAGTAAACCACTTGGTAACTTTAGTCTTTCAGACTCTTATTAGGTCAGCCCTGTCTTAATGAGGTTTGAGTATTTGTGCACTGGCCTCAAAACATGATGGCTTTAGACAGTTTAACCCTGACTTAGAGCTGTTTAGACCTTGTAGCCTTATTCTCGTTCTGTAATGCTGGCTTTAGAACAGGTATACTGAGTCGATAAAGATGCATGTCATTGTAGTGCGTGCAGGTACTGGTCTGAATCTCAGCTTGGTGCTGTGTAGGTAGATATTGTTGTTGCACAAGGGAGACGAAAGAAAATCTTCCAAATCCAATTTTGTTTCCTGATACTTCTGAGGTTTAAAAGTCAGGTTTAAAAAAAACCTGTGCAAGCCGTGTGCAGTTTTAGTAACTCTTGACTTGCATTGAGTGCTGTTGCTCATGTCTGCAGTGAAAGAGAGAGGACACATTGCTCCACTTTTCTGAAGTGCAGAGCAGGCAAAGCAAGGAAAGGACAGAGAAGACATTTCTAGGCTGAGGAGGGAGAGATAGATGATAGCTCAGCCAAAGGAAGAGGGGTCACTTTTCAGCCAAAGAAACACTCGAGGCCTCTGGGCATAAGAGATGAGTAGATGTTATGAGGTCACAGCTCTGCATCGTTTTCCATTTTCCTGTTATATGCTAAGCTATAAACATAGATATGCAAAATCCTTTCCTGCCTTTGACCTCGCTTCGAAGACCCTGCTATTTTTCTAACAGCAAGCCATGACATATTACAGCTGCAGAATCACCAGGGTGAGACAGCGAGCACTTCAAGAAATGAGAAGACAGAATGATACATTACTTGTTAGACGAGAGGGGAGAAAAGTCAGGGATCCGTCCAGAGCTGTAGATGGGATAGTATTCAGGTTAAATGATGGAGCCACTTACATAATGACTGAGTAGAAGAAACAGCTGAGAATTTTGAGTGTCAGGTGTGAGGTTCACATGCGAGGGGGTGTTTATTGCTGTATTTACAACAGTCTCTGGAGCGTCCAGGCATTGACGAGGAGCAAACAAATTACTCACTGTTAGCATTCTGCCCATGGAATAGATGCACATCTAAATATTGTGCCATACCTCACTAAAAGGAGCTGTTTAAATTCTGCTGAAAGCTCATATCCAATTAATCCTTTACACATTCACAATTCAAATTTCGTCATGTTATTGTTGTGGTGATGGATTTAAACTAAGATTGATTTGAAAAGTTGTTATTTATTCATGCAATAGTTTCATAGCTTCAAAGTGCACTTAAATTATTGCAGGTTTAGCATTCGCTGTGATAGATTATCTACTTAAAGCAACAGATTAATTAGTGGTAAAGTCATAAACATACCAAATCAGAGGGTTTTTCTCTAAGTGTACTAGTCATTTTTTACTTCAGTCACTGTGTACTCTACAGCAAGTGTCTATTTGAAATGTGCTGTAGGCAAGTTTTCCTTTTTTGCACTTCTTGCAGAGAATTTCAGTTCAGTCAATAAAAGGTCAGTATTGTACAACAGAATACCTGCAATATCAAGTGAAAACATTTTTTAATAAAAAAGAAATACCTAAAAAAAACAACCTGGCAAAGACAAAACTGTAGTTGAATAAGTCATGTAAAATGATGCATCCTAAAATTGAAAGAACAGTGAATAAGAAATATTGATGACAGTTTGTTTGTTTGTTTACTGAGTGCAGGATGACCAGGTAGTTCTGCAGTGCACTGCCACCGTCCTGAAGGAGCAGATTAAACTGTGTCTCTCCTGCGAGGGCTTCGGGAACCGTCTCTGCTTCCTTGAAACCACATCCAACGCTCAGGTGAGATTCTGCTACCCATTCCTCCCTTTCCCTTGTACATGCACTTGTTTGTTTTTTGAACAACTTTAATTTACCTCTCTATTGTTTATGCATTTGCAGAATGTGCCCCCAGACCTGGCCATATGTTCCTTCATTCTGGAGCAGTCTCTCTCAGTCCGTGCTCTGCAGGAGATGCTGGCCAACACCGTGGAGATGACCGAGGTGGGGGTCATAACCAGGAATAATGAAACTAGTAGAAGATATATATAAATATATTGAGAGGGTGATTCATAAATGTAAGAGATTCATGGAGTGCTAAAAGGAATGCGACTTATGAAAGGCACACTAAAGAAATATACTTTATTATGAAGATCAAGGTCTCTCTGAATGCAAAAATATGTATATTCTGTATGCAATTTTACTGCCTCTGTCACTGTCCATCTTACTGTCACCAGACAAAAGTTGTCACATTCAGCTGGAATTGCTAAAGTCATTGTGTTTGCAATTTGTTGTGTGCAGTTGTTGAGCATAACTTTTCTGTGTCGTCTCCCACTACCGCCAAACCTATATGGCAAGAAAAATGACAACACTTTTGAAAGTCTGCATATGAAATTGACTCTATTTCCACCATGTCAACAAGAAGTACCCAGCCAAGTTTAACAACAAAAATAGATGCAGCAACCCTCTAACAATTTCCAGTCTGTCTTACTTGATGCACAACAGCTAACATTAATACGGATAAATATTTTTACCTCATATCTTATTGCAAAGTTGGCTGTTTCTAACAGTATATGAATTAATCGTTCTGTGTGTACTTAAAAACATCCTGGTTCGGAACACTTTGTTTCCAATCTGAGATTGAGAGATCCTCGACATGTCTCTGTTTTAGACAGAGAGAAATAAATTTGCAGTTTATGTGGGTCAGACTGTTTAGTAGCGCGTGCCAGTCCTGTCTTAATATGTAGGTGGTATTTTTCTGCTCCATCACAGATGGAGCTTTCAAAATGAATTTAAAAAGTTCACAGTTGGAGATATTATGAACCAAATTCCTTCAGCCTACATAACCACCATCAATGGACTTATTTTTGGTGTTTATTTTATTATGATTTTGTTACTTGCCATCTGATACCCGCTCCCCTTCCCTTCTTGCTCTTTGCAAAGCAGGCAGTCGATTTGGACAAATGGGTATGTCTGTTAACGTGTGTTATTTCCTGTAATGTGTGTCCCAACCAACCTGGCAACTGTCCTTGTTCCTGTCATGTTGGCAAGTGGGTGTCCTAGTGAATGAAATACGTAGTGCTGTATCATTTACACATCTCGGTTTGTGTCAGTTAAGCCCTCACCATAAGTAGGTGATTGTCATGAACACCTGTGTATAGCTTTTAGCAACTGGTGGAGTTCAAGTCCACTGTCTCTGTGCTGAGCTATTAAAAACAGCACTGTTAAGTATAAAAAAGTAACGTTTTAGGGAAAGATTAGATTTTTTTTCCACAGTTTTGAAGCAAGAATAGAGCACAGCATTTTTTCTCATAATTAAACTTCAATCTATCCCACAATATGAGACATAGCTACAAGGCGTCACTCATTTGCATTTTGTGCAAAACGCAGCCCATTCATCATAATTATTATTTCACCTTGCTTGATGTTGCTCATTTGTTTTAGATCATTGTTCTTTGTGAGTCTTAAAAATTGACCTGTTATGCTTTTCTTTCTTTTCCTCATATACTTCAGTTGTGGATGCTCATACTAAACATGGCCAAACGTTCAAATAATAAGGTCGTATGTAAAGACAATCCCCGGAAACAGAACACTCAGGATTCTCAGGATCTGGCCTGTCAGAGTTTTTTCTACACTTAGATGTGTATGATGCAAGAGGAGACATCCTTAATATGGTCATGTCAAACAGACACTTCTCGCAAAGAGCACATAAGCCCCATCCACATGCTGTTAAAACCACCCAGACAATCTGAAGAAGCGCGGCTTTAAAGGTGGAGGAGCTACAACAGTGGGTGAAAAGGGGCTGAACCAAAGCCCTGTGTGAGGCCACTCTAGCAGTCAAACAATAAAAATGAAGAGCTGGAAATGAGCATAACAGGTCCATTTTTATAACACATCCCAGTTCTCCTTTTATTCACAACATGTTATCATATTGATAAAAAAGATTCATTCACTATAAACGTACACACTTGAGTTTTTGTAAGAGAAACTTTTGGTTGTTTTTGGTTTTTTTTTTTCATTTCCAGATGATTACCAGTTAAGTATGCTTTTCACAATTTAACTACAATGTGCCATTTTGATTAGTATACAATCAAAATATCAGTTAGCACATCAAGAAAAAAAAAAACCCAGTGTTGAATCTTTGATAAGACAGGTGAAGTAAAGCTGATACGGCTGAGGCAATGATCTTAAGCTAGCTTTAAGAGAAACTATTTCAAGCCTTTTATTAGCTGCATTATGACTAGTCTAGACAGTTCCTGCTTCACAGGAGTTGAAAGATGTGGAAGAGCCAGGCTTCCCTACGGATGAACAAGAGGATGAGAATAGAATGGCATGCAGCCCAGCAGAGGTTCCCACCAACACATGTCAGGGATGGATGGAGAAATTGGACACTCCAGAGCTGCGGACAGGCCTAGCTCCTTCTTAACACACGCACTTGGGGATAAGGCCCACAACACAATCGCCAACACAACACCTGTCCTACCCAAGCCTCGTGCTAATGCTAATGCAGTTTAGAGCTGTTAGCATCATCCTAACACTTGACATACCTGCCCCTAACTCATCTCAGTGGATTATGGGTGCTAAACCCTTAATAAAGGTTTAGTCTTATCTTCCTGTCAACACCCCTAAATGTTAAATGTTGCGCTTGTGTTTGAGACTATAACCTATGGTGACTGACATTAGGGTTTAAATAAATAAATTGGGCAGGTCACTATTGGTTAATATAAACTTGTGACTAAACTAGACATATTGTTTACATAAATTGAACACATCTGAAAGAAAAGATACATATTATTGATCCTAATAGGATGTGTACTTTGACTGAAAAGTTTATGCACCATATACAGGATCAATGAATTCAACAAAAGTTGCTACATATAATGGACAATATAAAGCACAGGCTTAACTGAATACAGCTTAAAGATCTTTAGTACATTCATTTTCAGTTCTTGAAAGTTTCAACCAGCCTCTAATCTTTTCTTCTGACCTTTGAACCTTTAAAAATGTGTCGTTGTTTCCCCCCATCAGGTCAATGTGTTTGTTAAAGTATACAGTCACTTGTGTTGATTTGGCCTGTTAAGTATTTTTTTTTTTATAATTTCTCACCTCAGTCGTCCCAGGGTGGAGGTCATCGCACTTTACTGTATGGACATGCCATCCTTTTGAGACACCACCACTCAGACATGGTAAGGCTAGAAATGAGCAAGAAATAAATGTAAACCTGTATAAGATGTCGTCAAATGCTCTAGTTGGAGTCATGTCCTCTATAAAAATCTCTCCAGTACCTGAGCTGTTTGACTACATCTCGGTCCCTCACGGACAAGCTGGCCTTCGATGTAGGCTTACAAGAGGATTCCACCGGTAAGGGAAATGCAGCAGAATACATTTTAGGCCTGGTATTAGCTCATTATTCTCTAGTGCTATTGTTATTGCCAACATGAAAACTATTGACAAAAATAGTCAGCAGTTTATATCCACTTTGTTGTTGGGCTACAGGATATAAGCAGGGATTGTGCAGTTACCAAACACAAGTTATCTGTTATATTTTTGGAAATAGCTGTTTTTTCTTACTCTTGTTGAAGGTGAGGCATGTTGGTGGACTATTCATCCAGCTTCTAAACAAAGGTCAGAAGGTGAAAAGGTCAGGGTGGGTGACGACCTCATCCTTGTCAGTGTGTCCTCTGAGAGATACCTGGTACGACTGCTCCTTGTTTTGCACAATGATGGAGACATATACACAGTATGTCTTTTTTTAATCGTCTTCTTCTCTTCTGTCCCCAGCATCTGTCCTACGCCAGTGGAGATCTCATGGTGGACGCTTCCTTCATGCAGACTCTTTGGAACATGAATCCAATTTGTTCAGGCTGTGAACTAGCTGAGGGTACAAACCTGCTTTAAAAAACTCTGTCTCTTCCCTGTTCCCGTAAAAAGAAACATAACACAGAATCGCTTTGGATGTTTGTTCCTTTACACAGGTTATTTAACAGGAGGTCATGTTCTCAGGCTTTTCCATGGCCACATGGACGAATGTCTGGCCATCGCTACACCAGAGGAAGGAGAAGAAAAGCGCAGGTGAGAATATAGGAACGCTAAGTTGCTCTTAGTAGAATAACTTCTTGTTAGTGTGATACCATGTACATACTGTTTGTGTGTGCCCACTCTGCCACAGGATGGCTCATTATGAAGGCGGTACTGTGTGCAGTCAGGCTCGATCCCTGTGGAGGCTGGAACCCCTCAGAATCAGGTGATTATCTCCTCAAGGGAGTCATGTGACACACATTAGTTGGTTGAATTGCTGGGTAAGGTAAGAATAAGAAAGAGCAACAAAAATCAAAATATAGTAGTGAATGAAACAGTTTAGTTGGCTTCTTTATAGTTTTTTCTTTAACTTTGTGCAGTTGGAGTGGTAGCCACATGAAGTGGGGACAGTCTTTTCGTATTCGCCACATCACGACGGGCCGGTACCTGTGTCTTGATGAGGAAAAGGGCCTCTTGGTGGTCGATCCAGAGAAGGCGAACACCAAACTGTCTGCTTTCTGCTTCCGGGCTTCAAAGGTCAACATTTTAATTTGAATTTCTCAGTGCATTTGGACAGTCATAGTTAATATACTGTGATTTATTCTCTCATTGACTTCAGTTTTTTTCTCACCTACTCTCCTTTTCTCCCCCCGAGCAGGAGAAGGTGGAGGTGGCTCAGAAGCGTGATGTTGAGGGGATGGGCATTCCAGAGATTAAGTATGGAGAGTCCATGTGCTTCGTCCAACATGTGTCTACAGGCCTGTGGCTCACATATGCTGCCCTGGATGCTAAAGCTGCTCGTTTGGGAATGATGAAAAGGAAGGTAATGATCTATCCTGGGAATAAAAGTGAGATACAAACCCAATTCTGAAAAAGTTGTCACACTGTGTAAAAGATAAATAAAAACATGATAATTAGCAAATTTAAAAATATTTCATTCACAGTAGAACACAGAAAACATGTCAAATGTCTAGTTATTTTAAGAACAATATGAGCTCATTTTGTAATTTGATGATAACAGCACGCCTCAAAAGATTTGGCAGGTGGAAAACAAAAGGTTGGAAAAGTAATTAGAAACAGCTAAATTAACATTTTGCAACTAATGTTAACTGACAACAGGTCAAAGAGCATCTTAGAGAGATACAGAATGACCAATCTGCAAAAACAC